TATTGCACACAAGGCGCCTATTACTATTGGTACTATCTTTGCTTTCTTTTACCACTATTATTACCAATAGTAATAATATTACTATTATTATTATTATCTGTTTCTGACTATTTAAATATATGCATTCTCACTTATAGGACAGGAAGTGGAGCGGGGAATGATTCTGATTCATACATTACACCGAGCCTTATATAACCATAGCTTGTTGAATAAACCAAAGTGGCTGGGTTTACTTGGCACACTAAGTCAAAACCAAACAAACCAGATTATGGCTTGGTGTGAATTTGGGCAAGGAATCTTAACATTCCCCCCCCCCAGCAATAACACTGTTAAATAGATAATTACCATATTTGGAAACCATAAATAAAACTCTTGCTCCCTAGTTAAGGTTAATTGGTGAAGAAGACGGGTGCTTTGTGTGTGTTACTCTCCTCCTATGGTTACAAACAAAGCATCAGTTCAACTTTGCCAGATTTTTTATTTCTCCTTCTTCATTTCCAGTGCCACAACTGGTTCACAGAGTTGCTTTTTCCCTTAGTCCCAGACATTTAAATTTGCACTTTCACTACTTTTTCCAATCTTTTTCTTCTTTTTTGCATCAATATTTCAGTTTTTTTCCACTTCAGGCATGTCCAGAAATCATGTTCTTACTTCAGGAACAGTCCCGCTATGCTCAGGTGCACTAAAGGAAAAGCTTTTTGCAACGGGCTTTGAAAAGACACTTTCTTATTACTTCACTTGTTTTGGGCTTAAGCCCTGGTGCTTAGATTCTGGAGTTTAACTATGGTGTACCATTCAGACCCTGTTCTGGTGGCTGGTTGGCAAGGGGAACACAATGTGTGTATATACAGAGCTTACTTTTTCCATAGCTGAGTCTTGATGTTAAAGAGAAGTTCCTACCTTGAATATGGCTTATATATTAAATTGTCTTTATTTTTTTAAAGTTCTGCTTGTATACAAGGGCATCTGTGGGGAGGGAGAGTTGTCAAAAAAAAGTCAATGTGGCATCTATCAACTTGGCTTTTTTCACATACACACTTCCTTAAAAAAACAGGATTTGAAATATAGGCACACACATTCTACTAATTTTTGCCGGTTCTCCTAGTTCTCAGTTTCACAAGGCTATTAGGAACCAGATTTGATTGCGGGATGGGAGGAGGGGGAGAATTTGCCAATATGATTATGTGCTTCTCCCCCACACAGAGTAATTCAAAAGCTGCCATGATAGCCCCAGCCCCTGCGTCTTTCTCTTTGTGTCACCTTCTGCCAGCATCTGAAGATCAGGGAGATTGAAGAGAGGTTCAGGGTGAGGCCACAACAGAAGAAAGGTGAATAGCTGCTTGGATCCGTGAGCAGTCCTCTCTCCTGGGAGGAAGACCCAGTGTCATCTTCTCTTGTCTGCAGAAAGGGAAGGCTTCCTTTGGCCACTGTTTCAGGAGCAGCTCTCCCAAAGCTGTTCCTGGGTTCATTCTGGCTGCCTTTTCAAATGTTGCTTTTTATTTTGAACACCCCTCCTTGTCAGGCTTTCTGCATGATTCCTCGTACGTCAGGAAACGCCCCCCGCTCCCCCGCTTTGGCTCATGTTGCAAACAGCAGGTGTGGTACTCTGATCACGATGAGGTGTGGGATAAATATTGCCGGGGGCAGGTTGGCGGGTGGGAGGAGGATAATCTGACTCATTGGGGCTCCCTTGTTCTGTCTTGGCTCCGCTTTGCATTGATTAACTTTACAGCCTCGTGATTGGCATGGCCAGACCCTTCCCTTGGCACAGGGTCTCTCACCAGCTTTGTTGGCTTGTGTGAAGGGCTCTGTTGTGTGTGATGCAGCTGTGGCAAAATTGCTGGTGGCTTCTTGGGAGGCTGTAGAAAGCCTCTTCTGTCTGAGGAGTGAAAAGGACGTCTCTTCCTTTAGCTGTGGGCAGAGGAAGCAAGCAAACAATTCCCCTGCTGTGGGAGGCCAGAGCGATACACAAAACGATAACAATGCTTCAGCATCTCCTAATGAACAGAAATGCAAGCATTGTCCAAAGCTGAGAAACATTCAAGGCTAACAACGGAGCTCAGCTAGTGAACTGCAGCCTCAGTTTTGGCAGCCTGGTGAAGTAAAAAGCTATCAGAATGCTTAGTAATCATAGTGGATCCAGCTAGACTCGCCAGAGATTTGTGGAGGGTGGATCTAATGCATTTATTATCCAGGAAAGCTGACCACAGATAGCTATGCCTAGCAATAAGAGCTGGTTACCAGATGTTACAGATGAGTAAGAAGCAGGACCGTATCAGGCCCTGTGGCAAGAGTCACTGGAGCATTTGGCTAGCACAAAAAGCTGCTTGATCTCCTGCAAGGGGCTTGTGCTGGTCCTGTGGCACTGGCAGCTTGAACACTGAGGTGCCCATGTGCAGGCACGCCATCTATTCCTGCCACGAACAGCTTTTGAATTGATCCTTCATTTGGGACGCAATTTGTCATCAGCCCAGAAGGGTCTGCTGACAACAAAAGCGATGCTAAAATCATCCAGCGCCCCAATTCTGCCTGGAGTTTTAAGCCGGATAGTCTTCAACTCTGCTTCAGACCAGATACATGTCTGATGTCAGAAACTACCAAGAACAGTACTGTAGAGGTTACTGCTGCTACTGGCTAACTCAGCCTTCCCGAACCTGGTGCTCTCCAGATGTGTTGGACATGATTTCCAACATGAGATATGTTTGTCCAATACTTCAGCAATGTTAAGAAATCCAGTGTTTGAATGTATATTAGCTATTCAATTCTTTACTGTTTTAAAAGGGTCTTGGATATATAACTGTCTTCAAGGTCAAAAGAAATATAATAATAAATCCAGTATAATTTAGAGTCAGTTTGAAAGCTCTCTATACAAGTGGCCTTTTCCAGGAACATTCTACATTTTCATTTCTAAATGAAATGTGCTGGATCTATTGTCTACCTTAAACTACAACTTTTTTTCTTGAGTCTGTCACCCCTGTTAATGTTGGCTTCTCTTACTTGGCAAGGGAAAAATCAAAAGATTTTTGTGACTTAGGATTTAAATTGGGGGGTGGTAATAAGATGATATTGATAAGGTATTTGTAATCTGTCTCATGTGTAACCTGCATCTGCATAAGCAACCTGTTTTCCCCTCCCCTGCACCATCCCTATTTAAATCCTACATGAGCCTAGCCACTCCATGCATCTGATGAAGTGAGCTGCAGCTCATGAAAGCATCTGCCTCTTGATAAAATGTGTTAGAAAAGGTGCTACCAGACTCCTCCTGATTTTTGGCTACCGTTGACTAACGTGGGTCTCCTACAGTGACAAGGGAAAGGCTTTCTGTCCAAACTCAATCTTTCGCATGTTTCTCATCTTCCTGACAATTGTAGTCAACCATCTCAAGCTCACCTCCCTTCACATGCTTAAGGAGATAGCATGAAGAAACAGCTTCAGAGCAGAGCCTTAACATCACAGTTGGAGCTCTTCTTCTTCTATAAAAACTTTGTTGTTCTGGTAAAGGAGTTTGAATGACCTCTGCCCTTTCCTGGCAGCATGCAGCCCTGGCCCATGGCTTTTATATGACTATATTGCAGTATATTGCAGGCTGAACTAGGAAACAATGACTCTTACTAACTTCCTCCAGCTTCTTGTAGCTTTTAACTTCTAGGCTGGCTCTTTGGTGAAACATGTAGTTGTTTTTCTTCCGTCTCACATCCCACTTCCATTAGATGAATCTTCCCCAACTTAGTGTCATCCAGAAGTGTTAGTCCTCCAGAGTATTGGGCTGCAGCACTCCTAACCTCCAGTGTATGGAGCATGTTTTTTTTTTCCTGGAGCTTCTTCTTCATGAGGAATGGCAGGATGCACTACTGTTGGTTTTCTGGCAATGCTTTCACAGCCATCTTTCTCTAGAGACATTGATAAGCTGAAATTGAGGGACAACAAGGCATTTCATAATGGCTGTTGACTACACTGAGTGTTGCTGCAAAGGCTTGCCACATCCAAATGCCCTTCTTATGCCACTGAATTTTGCATTCCCACTAGCTTTTCTCTGTCTCCAGCTATGTTTTTCTGACTCTGCAGACTGGTCAGGTTAGATTTTATCTGCTGCACATGTGAGGCTCAAGTGGGCTCCATGTTTATTGTTTATGACCATGACCATCCCAGGGCCATGTAGCCTCTAATAACTTTTAAATTCTCGTGTAGCATGCAGCTGCGTGACTGAGAGTCTGCC